CTGAGTGATAGTTCTTTCCCTCTTTGTCCACAATAGCCATATGTACCTGCTGCATTAGAACAAACTCTCCAGCAAAAGCCCACAGGTTAGCAACCTGCAGCCAGGAAAACATCCTATTTTATTAGCTTGCATTCCTCTGACTAGGCCAGCAGCTGGACTGCTTTTGGGTCCTGCTGCGTGAACTGAAGTTGTGTGCCAAGCACAACAGCACAAGGTTTGAAACAAATTCTGCCCAGCCACATGCTGTTCATTGCTTCAGTTCTCACATGGTTATAAGATCTACTGCAATTATTTCAGCATGGCCACTGAGATATTGTGAGAGAAGAGTAGAGAAAGCAGCGAGGAAACATCTGCATGGCAGGGCAAGCACAGACTTTTCTCAGCCTGACTCAGAAACCACTGTGGGCTCCAGCCACAGCTCCCTGGTTGTGCCAAAATGGGGACAGCATTTCAGAAGACTGTAACTAAGCATGTGTCGGGCACTAATCAGTGCAGCAACCATTTTAAACCAGTCCCAATTTGCTGATACTCCCATCTGATGTTGGTACTGGAATGCTAGTGAGGAGCTATGACTTCAGGCATTTCTAGAGAACAGCCTCATCTATAGTTTCCTGCTTCTGCAGTCTTGATGGAACAGCCAAAGCACCTGAGAGACCAGCCTGTGCTGGAACTGTAGCGCTTGTACCAGGGAAAGCACTCCCATGGCTGATGGTTGTTTGGAGAATTTGAAAGAAAGGAAAGGTGTTTTAAGTTCTGCTTTGATTTGTGACAAGGCAATTTAGCATCTCCTCACTGCTTAGCTGGGACCTCATGCAGTGAATTCTCACCCCAGTGTCACTTGCTTCCCCACCTATGACCCACTAAGCTTCACATCTCACGGGACTTGAGGCAGTACCTGCCCTGCCAGGTTCCCATAACCCCAGCACAAACTGCGGGGCACAGTTCACTGCTGGCAAAGATGACCTGTTGGTGATGGGTCCCATCTGCCCAGATACAGGCAAGAGCCCCTTTAATTCCACCCCTGTGTGCTCACCACACCACAATCTAATCTCACATCCACGTCACAGGAAACCCTAGACCATCCCTTATCTTTCAAAGGAAAGCCAGCAGGCACCATGTCTGTGGTTTTAATCACCAAAGTGCAAGCCTCTAGGGAAAGCCTGGAGTTCAAGACCAGGAGAGCTGCAACTCCCAGACAGCAGGGTGCAGGGTACCAGCCAGAGCCCAGCAAAACTGCTCATTCGAGCTGCACAACAACTCGTTATGTTGGCAAATGCTCTTGGGCCCTGCACCAAACACCCAGTGAGAGCCCCTACTCCCTTACCAGAGCCATGCATTTCTAAACCTTGTCAGGGAAAAACACAGCCTCAAGCCAAACCTGGATCGGCATCTGTTCAGCTAAACTCTGTTTCATAGCATTCGCTCTTCCCCTTGTTCTCCCTTGTTCAGTCTCTGCATGCTGAAGTGCTGGTGGATTTGGGAGGAAACCAGACCACACCTGTGACACAGCTAACAGGAACACTGAGCTTAGCACTACATGATTTCCTGGTCACTTAAATTGGACATGAGTGACAGGATTGCTGCTGGCCACAGTGAGAGACCACACCTGGGGCAAAAAGACCAGGCTCTGAGCAGGGCTACAAAAGAAACTAAGCATTTGGATGCCACAGGAGCAGGCATACTGCAAAAGTGCCTCTTGAACAGTCTACAGGGTGTGCGAATCCTGTAAGGGAAGGCAGGACACAAAGGGGTTTTGCCTGTCTGTCCCCCAGTGCGTGCTGTCTAGCAAGCAGAGCCTGCTGGCTCATCCTCCAAGGAGCCCTGCCGGGTCCCCTGCACTGTGCGATCCCCCTCCCCCTTGCTGGGCAGGGGAGCACAGGTCAGGAGGCAGACCACAGGGAGTTCTCCATTACAACGACTTCCTGGAAAACTTCTTATCTCGACAGGCAGCTCCAGAATACACCTGATAACCGTTACAGGAAGCAAGTACAGTCCCCACCCCCATCTCCCCCTCGCCCAGCCTACAAGACCCTCCCTCCAGTCCAAGCAGGCTGCATTCCTAGCTGCCAGCAGTTCTTCCTATCCCAAACTAGCACTGATGAGCAGGCCTGCATTGGGGTTGAGCCTGGATTAAGTAACAAGTTGAATACTGAAGTTGTTCAGTGGAGAAGACAAGGCACTGCTGCGTTGTCTGGCAGAGGCAGACCAAGCTCCAAAAAGCTGCTGTCAAACTTGTTATGGTTTGCTAGCATTTCCCTAAGAGTGGCTAGGTTTAACATCAGAGTTCAGCTGCTGCTGTAACACAAATCCACACCACAGCATCTGAGAGCATCCCAAACTGCCATCAAGGCCTACCAAGCCTTCTGTCATACAGAGAAAGGCCCAGTATCTGTTGAGGAGACTGGATAAATGCAGCATACCTCACCTGCAATAAGCACTCCCTCATACACACACATGGACATTCTACAACTAAGCACACACCCCCAGCACTCCTGAGTCCTCAAGGCCCTTCACTCTGTCGCACACTGGTATGGTCAGCCCATCAGAAGAACCTGCCCTGCCTTGTCCTCTGCCCCAACCTGTCTTCAGAAGTGTCCCCAAAAAGCCACTGCCAGGGTCCCAGAGAAAGCCCCAAAGCTTTCCAAAGCATGTAGAAGGCTGAAAACATTTCACACGTCTCTGCAAGGTAGATGCGAGCAAACAGGCCTGTGCTCCAGAGCTGCAATCTGTCATTCTAGACAGCATAGAGTGTGTCCTGGTGATAGGCCACTTCCTTTCTTTTAACAGCTGTTAAAGCTCTTGGACGCATCCAATTGCCCTGCATCTTGACAGTATCGCTTCCAGTGTTTGACAGCTAAATCCTTAACACCAGGTCCCTTTTGTGAATGGAAGCTTTGCTAAGGAACACCAGCACAGAAGGGAATGCTGCCTTGTCTTGTGTATGGGCTCCTTAGCTCCCAGCTGAGCTGACATCCCACTGCAGCTTGGCAGACACCACACTTGGCAATGAAAGAAACTCTGTGGGAGAAGCAGGGCAGCACGTAGGGGAGGATAAGTCAGCCTGAGGTCTGCTACAGCACAGCAGACTAGGATACCTGTCCTTCTGATGGTGCAGTCTCCTCCCCCCTCCCCCCTACTTCTTTCACAGAAAGCTTGACCACTGCACAACTGCTCCTGAAAAGCATGTTACATACTTCTGCCTCTACTTGTACAAGGTGGCTTGTCACCAGATGCTTTTACAAGCTTACATGACATCTTCAGTCTCTCCCTTAGACTTTTCCCAGATGATCCCTGATCTACATGATTTCTTACACTTGCAAGGTAGATGGACAGTTGCCACATGCCTCTAAAGTACATCTGACTACAGCACGGGGCAGAGTGTCAAGGGACACTGTGCTGAAGGGAATGGCAAGCCCTCTCATAGAGCCACCCCACACAACTCACCTGGTGCCTCCAAAGAGAATGATTTTGTCCCCCACTCTGCAGCAGCACTGCCGGCGTCGAGGACATGGGCCTTTCCCCTTGGGCTCAATCTTCCTCCAAGAAAGAGAAACTAAAGGGCAGGAAAGAGTACCTCAGCTTGTCACAAGAGCCAGGCCAAGACCCAGGTATAAGCAGGTTATGGATGTAAACAGATCACAGCAAAACCTGAGACTCACAGACACCAACTAGCCAACACCCACCCTCCCTGTCGACCTTCTCTTCTCGCGAGCGGCGAAACGATGCACGCCTACGAGGTTGTTACTGAAGTGTCTCTTAGATGCCAGGCACAGCCCTGGAGCTCTGCCTGCGGAAATGGGAGTTGCAGGCCGAGGCCTTTCACCTGCAAAGCCTGAGCGCCAGGACCCACGGGCTGCCACGGCAGCAGGTCGGACATCTCAGGGAGCTGTACGGGGCAGAGCTCCAGGAGCAGGCAGGCAGCTTTCCTCAGCACCCTGCTGTGGTCCAGGTTTGGAAGGAGACCCAGGGACGAGCCCCATCTGCTGGCAGCCACTGTGAATGCAGAGCATGGTCGCAGGGCGGAGGCTGCTGGGACAGCTTAGTTGTGGGAGGGGAGCATGGGGAGCTGAACCAGGTGGGGAAGGCAGCAGCCTTTGTCCTTGCTGCTCTCTGTGGCAAGGATGCTGGGAGGTGGTTAGTCACTAATGCACAGCGTTGAAAGCCTCAGGAGGTCTCACACTAGCTCATAGATCAGCTTGGGGAGCAGCAAGTTGGCTGCTCTCAGGTGACTTTACTATGCAAAGCAATTAGGAAACAAAATCAGTCTAATGGACTGCAAGAAGTGCCTGAGGACGGAGGATCCCAAAACAGCTCACAGTTGACCAATATTCAGGGTACCAGCTGAAGAACCACCTCTTCTGCTGCACAGTCTGATGTGGTACAGTGATCCTGCAGCACAAGTTAAGTGGTTTCCCCAGCTATGGTCTCTCACTCCCTTAGCCCCATTGCTTCCCATCTTCTTTTCTGCCAACACTTCTGCATATCTAAGAACAAGACAAAGTTTTGCCAACCTCCCTTTGATTAGTCGTGTCTTTTAGCAATACTTTCTTTTCCACTTTCTAACTGAGAGTTGGAGACAGCCTGAAGAGGAACAGGGGTCCCAAGCACAGTAGCAAGTTCCTGTCAATGCTGGCAGAAGAGTCATTTCCCCCCAACCAGGCTCCTAGCCCTTGGAGAGTACGTTCATCTGAGCACTCACACACTTGAGGGCCTTGAGCTGTATCACTGCAACAAGTTAAAACCATAAATACCTGGATTGAATTTCCAGAGGTCGTGGAAGTGTCTGTTGAGGCGTGCGTTGTAGCCACCAAATACATATAGCTCCCCATTGTAGCTGACTGTGGGGAGTAAGCATAGACATCAGTGTGCCACCCAAGGTAGAGCCCAGCAGGTCCCTGTCCCAACATCAAACACAAAGCAAAGTGGTGCTGGTTATCCATCTTTGCTTACATCACCTTCGCGTGAAGGGCTATGTGCATGGCTTTTCAGTGGGCAGCAGCTTTCCACAGGAGCCAGGCTCTGTGCACCACTTGCTAACCCACATCTCCACCCAGTGGACCAGACACCCCTTCTGAGGCAGATGGGAATTTCCTTCCACTGTCCTCTCTCAGCAGACCCACACTCACATGCTGAATGGCTCCGCCGGCCTTCAGGGAGCACTGGAGTTGGAGGGGAGTCCAGCCAGGAGTTTGTTTCTGTATCAAATACTTTAATACGGTTACAGTAGATCTCATTGTTGGAGTGAAATGGTCCAAAACGATCAGCTCTGCCACCAAATACGTACATCTTTGTTCCAATGATGGTAGCTGAATGGAAGTCTCTCCAGCGAGCTGGCGTACCCTGAAGGGACAGAGTAAAACAGAACAAGAGAAAGAATGCAGATTACCCAGGGAGATGACCCACCTTGATGGGGAAGTTGGGGTGGCTGTCTTCTGGAGAACTTCCCCTCCTGCAGATCCCAGTCACACCAGACAGAAGCTGCAAGGCAAGTGTGGGCAGCTACCCCAGAGAACAGCAGATATGAGACTTCCTCCACAAACCAGAGTGAAAAGCGGACACTGACCTTGGCAGAGATTAAGGTCCACATCATGTTTGTGGTGTCCAATTTATGGATATCGTTTGAAAAGCAGTCAGCCTGGAAGACAGCAGGTCAGCCTGGTCACAAAGAGACTGAGAAGCCTGGTCACATCTGGCTCCAGGAAGGATGCTATCCTACAGACCCAGAGCATCCCTTTGGAGTTAGTACTTCCTAAGAGATACGGTGCTTGCTCCAAAATGTCAGGGTAGGCAGCACACATCACTTAACAAGAGGGAGGCAAAGCCCATTTCTCCTCAAAGGTGTCCTGTCTCTCCCTGCAGCCTTCCCATTTATTTGGGGCTCAAATAAATGTTCCCCAAGTTCCTCCCCCCAAGGCTGTCCTGCACACAACATGTACATTCACAGCAGAACCCTGCCTCCACTCCATGCAGTGACAGAAGAAAGGGTTGCTAACGGGACAGTCAAACTGGCTCTGCTAAGGCCACCTGATGAGAGGTAGAAGCTAAGATTACTCCTAGGAAGCTAAACATCCAGGAGCAAATACACTTGGGGTTCTGAGGATCCCACAAAACTCAACTGCAGCTAGCTGCCTGGAAGGGGCTGCATTCACACGAACAGCACAGACTCCTGCTCCTCCAGGCAGGGGAGATAGCAGAGACAGCTACAGGCTTGTTTGGTCTTGGTTAAAAACAAGCCACATTTGAACTGCTCCTGCTGCTGTAATCAAGATCATGGATTTGGCATGCCATTGGCCTCAGAGAGAGGGAATAACCCAGTGACTGCCATAACAGAGCCCCAGCTTTCTTCCTAATAAACAGATGTGACTTTGCACAGCTTTTCTGGAGCCTGGTGATAGGCTGAAAAGATATTTACCCACTTAAGATCAGAGCACAAGGAGCTCAAAGGAGCATTAGGCCCAGTGACAGCTAGTGCAGGATGACCTTTGGCTCAAGGTATTCTTAATGGGAGGGCAAGCACGTGTTTGCTGGAGGGGATCAGCAAGATGTGAGAGCAGGTACAGAATACAGGGAACATGCGCCAGATTAGGACAAAACCTTACAGCAACACTGCAGATATTGGTAAGTGATTTTTCTGGCTCATTTCTTAGCCAAATTAAAATAAATGCAGATCAATATATATTTAAAATGTTATATATTTTTCTATCTAAATTTGGCTGAGAAGTTAGTCAGAAAGAATTATCTATAAAAATATTTCTATTTTTACCTCTATATATCTATATGTTTTGGGAAAAAAAAAAATCCACCATACTTTTAGGCTTACTTTCCCAACCATTTTCTCCACAAAACAATGAGCATAACCTGGGTAATTAATGACATAACTTTGCTGAGTTATAAAATGAAAGCAATTATGGATACAAATATGCCTCTGCATCCTGCCTCTACCAACCTGGGTAGGAACATCCTCTTTCCCAAGGGATTGCCAAATACCAGTTACAGACACTACTCACCAGCTGCTCATAGCCTCCGAAGATAAACATGCTCTTTGCCAGGACACAAGCTGAGTGCCCATCTCTCGCTCCTGGGACTATTCCAGATACCTTTGGCGTGAACCACTTGTGCGTGTCTGAAACAAAACAGGAGGCAACATTAAGAAAATACAGTAGATGTTGGGATGGGATAGCTCTTTACTACTGTTCTTTATTGTAAGACAGAAATCCTTTCCTCTTTCACACACAGCACCTGCTT